GACGCTGCCCGTACGTTTGGTTACGCTACCACCGCCGTTTCCGCCACTTATCACCGAAAGACCATTGCCCACGTTAGCGCCCACATCGGCTGCACTCATTGTCGTTCCGGCCGTGGTGGTGCCATTTGGCGTCTTGTAACTATTGTATTTTTTAAGCGATGAGCGCAGTTTGCTAGCACCGCTTCCGTTGAAGCCGAGTGCCGTTGTTGTTGTCTGCTCGAAAGGAAGAGAAGCTGGGCGCTCTTGCGCGCTCATTGGTTTCATATGAATCGGACTAAGCGTTGTCGACTGCGTGTGCGTATAGAGGCTATGTTGCGGGGTGCTGAAAAGCGGGTGGTGCTGCTGTTCGCGCTCCCGTTGCAGCTGTTGCTGCTGCGCTAACGTGTTGTGGAACTTGGGTCTATGCAGGGGACTGCCGATGTATGCGGGCACATTCTCATAGTCGCGTATGCGATTCAATCCGCCGCCGGTCTCGCAACCCATGCTGCCGCTGGAGCCCCGCTTTAAACGCTGCGTCATTTTGGGCGAACTCTTATAGAGCTCGTGCTTGCTAGGCGGCGGTACCACGCCAACCGGAGCGGGAGGCGGTGGCGCCAGTTCGCGATAGTGCGTATAGTCCGGAGCACTGCCTACGATAGCCCCACCGGCGCCCACATTGATGTTTAGCTGCAGATTAAGGTTGCTGTAGTCGTACAAATCGGCGTTTGCATGCAGCTCGTCCTGATCGAAAGAGAAGCCTTGGTTGATGTTGGAGCTATTCGAAATGGTCGAGGGTGTGCGACGATGGCCAGCGGCGCTGACGCCCATCTGAGGCACGCGCGGAGGCGGAGTGCGCGTTTGGTAGTGCTGTTGTTGCTGTTTTGGCGTGACTTGCTGCTGCTGTTGTGAATCGTAATTGTAGTCGTAGTAGTTAGGCAGACGGTGATTGTAGTCGTAGGAGTAGTCGGGATAAGATTTGCAGTCGCGCTGGTAGGCCTGCTGTACCTCTGGCCGGTACGGAAAATAGTTGGAGCCTGAATGGGAAGAAGTTATGAATCGAATGCGAATCATTCGTGTGCATGTAGACTTACCGAAGTAGCCTGCGCGGTGTACACCTGCGCCGTAAGCGCCGCCGTCATTGGAAAAGCTCGGTCCATGGCGCAAGTAGTCTGCGCGCGTATATTGCGTGGCGGGCGGCGCCATTCCACCGCCAATGTGAAAGGCGTCATCAAAGTGCCGCGTCGGAGGCGTGTCATCGTGCATCGAATACTCGAGTTGCTCCGTAAACGAAGAAGTGCTGATCTTGCGACGTGGTGAAGGCGTCGGTGGCTGTGTGTGGCTACCCAGCGACGATGACAGCAGCGCCGAGGTGTTGTTGGTAAAGTTCGATCCCAAGCCGCTGGTAGTGGAGCCGGTCAGCGGCAGTTGCTGGTGCTGCTGTGTTTGCTTCTGTTGTTGTTGTTGCTGCGCCAGCTTACTTCCGGCGTCGGCCAAGGGCAGCGAGTGCTTTTGGAAGTAATAGTTAGGCGCGGCATGCATTTTGGGCGAGCCGCGCGGACTCTGATGCAAGGGGGCGCGCTGTTCCTCTAAGCGCGCAAAAGTGGCGGCGTTCAGTGTGGCACTGTTATTGAAAATAAACAAAATACAAGAATGTGTCATTAGATAGTGAAGTTGCCACTCACCGTTGGTGCTTATTGCCAGTGCCGTGGTAAGTGTTGGCCGCAAAGCGACTGCGCTCATCCAAAACGCTCGGAAACTCCATTTCCATAGGCGCCTTCAGAGCGGGCACATCGCTCAGCAGTGACGGATGCACCGGTGATACGTTCGAGATGCGCACATCGTAGCCAGCGGCGACGCCAGCCAACAGCGCGGCCATATTGTAGAGCAGCACCTCGATGACGGAGAGCTTTGGCTTGCGCACTGCGTCGCCTGCATACAGCGTCGGCATGGGAATGTTGGAAGTAAAGCGGCTGAGCAGGTAGGGGTTTGGCGACATAATGGGCAGCGGCGCGTCCATGATGGTGCTGCTTGCACCTACGGTGGCGGCAGTGGGCAGCGCATGCAATGGCGAGCACCAGTCTTTGGAATTGTAGCCTGAGCGCGTTAAGGAAGGCAGTGAAGTGAGAAAAGTGTAAAAGTTGTAATTGTGTGAGAAGAGAAGTGAAAAAGGGGGAGGCGGCAAGGAGACGGTGGCCAGCAGTGGAGCCGAACCGCAGACAAACCAAGTTGTTAGAAATCAAAATGTGAAATTCAAAACCAAAACGAAAACTAGCCAGCACCAAGGAGTAAGGAATAAAACTCAAGGTTAATTGTAAATAAAACTAAAATACAGACTATTTATTGTTTTTTTAGATTTATTTTAGTGTTTTTGTATTATAATTTTTTTTTTAGAAATTTTCGTGGGATTTTCAGTATTTTTTTTTTGGCTTTATGGTATAAAATGGAATATTTTGCGTAGCTTAAATTTTTGTTATAGAAAATTCTTTAAATATGCTAAAAATTACATTAAAAATATAGCGGTATGTTGCAATAATTATGGTACGCACTGTAGAATAAACAAGGTCAAGTCTAAATAACTTAGGTAAACAAATTGCGGAATTTAACGACAGAAAAAAATTAAAACAAATAAAAATGTTTACAAAAATTATTAAAAAAAAATCAAAGCTGAATAATTTTTTNGTCATCGGCCCGTGCGGCGGGGGAGAAGTGGCTTATTTGAAAAAAAAAAAACCTTATATATATTAACTTTTTGCTCAAGCCCGGGTTGAAATAAAAACACTCAATATAATTACCTTCCTAGTCTAGCAGGCGCAGCCTAATGTTCTTGCTGCTGACTTCAGACTGAAGTGGAATTATTGATAAAATAAAACTCAACAAAATTATATAGTGTTTTATTTCAACCAGGCCTTCAGCCCAACAAAAGTTAATATAATATTTAACTGACGGCCAAATATGGATGTATATAAAATGTTAATTCAAACAAACATCTATTACGAAAAAAATGTGTTCGATGGGCAGATACATTTTGAAACCTATTTGAGAAAACGGCACTTTAAACTAAAAACAATAATTAAAAGGTGTATAATTACAAAAAAATTTAACACTAAAACAAAATTTTTGAAATTTGTTTTCTGAAAACAGAAGTTCAAAATTAAACAACAAATGAAAAAGAAATGCCATTGAAAATAAAAAAAAAAAACGTTTGGAAAAGCCCTTTTGCCGCTTAGCCGAGACTCAGAAATCCAAGACAAACACATTTTCGCTTCAAACCATTTTTTTATCCGAAATTTAAATAGAAGTCTATAATATATATATTTTTTTAATGTTTAAGAAATAACATTTTATATAAAGTAAAATAATACGCAGTTAACGCCAATCGTTTCGTTTTGGTTATATGTTTCGGTAATAAATAATTTTGGGGCAATAAAAAAATATCTCTACTAACAGCAGATTTTCTTTTGCAATTTCGTGATGTTGTCTATAGCGGATTGGCGCTGACAAATAAAAACCAAAACCCAACAATAAAATTAAATTAGAACAAAAAAAAATGTTTCACCAAAACTGGCCTGTAGCTCAAATACAATTAAT